GACTTGATTGGTCAATTCTTACAACTACAACCACTTACACAACTACGCTTACAACGACTATTGTAGAATAGGCTTGAGACACCTTAATGCTACGTAACGGAATGGTGGCATATGTATACAGGGTGTCCCCAACATACGGCCCCACTCGTCTTGAGCAGAGGTAGAGCGGACTAAACTGAGTCGAAAAGTCCTCTACCATTTTGCAATTTTCGCAAATTAGTTAACAAGATATTAATCACTAAAAATTGCAAAATATTAGTCTTGAAAATTTTTTACTCAAATACTATCACCTTTACAGAAAAACTGCAAGAGACAAAAATAATTTATTTTCTTCTCATAAAGTTCTGAGAATTTTTTCAGAATTTATTATCAACTTTTTAGTACTGCATTTTCTTATTTTTATCAAGTGAGAAAATACGGTATTAAAAAATTCTGAAAAAATTCTCAGAACTTTATGAGAAGAAAATAAATTTTTATCTCTTGCAGTTTTTCTGTAAAGTTGATAGTATTTGAGTAAAAAATTATTCAAGACTAATATTTTGCAATTTTTAGTAATTAATATCTTATTAATATAATATTATTAACTATTGCGAAAATTGCAAAATGGTAGAGGATTTTTCGACTCAGTTTAGTCCGCTCTACCTGCTCAAGATGAGTGGGGCACCGTATGTTGGGGACACCCTGTATATATTTTGAATGCGATTTTCAACATTTTAGCATCGACATAAAATTAATATTTGCAAATGATTCAGCACATCAAAAAATCTTAAAAATGTATAAAAAGATTCCATCGCTTACGCCAAAATTGTATTATTTTATCCATTGTTCTTTTTATTACAATATTTTTACATTATGTGTATAATATTAGTGAAATTATCCAGCTAAGAGAGAATTAAGCTGGGTAATTTTACTAATACATATACATATAATATATGTACACTTATGACGACAAAATGACGGCATATCTCTGACAAGAAATATACGTATCCATGAAACAACGTTATTTGTCATTATTTTGACGTCGAAACCGTTATTAAGATCTTATTTAGTGTTTCATTAACCGTTATTAAGATCTTATTTAGTATTTAATTAAATTTTAATAAAATTTATATTAAATTTATATTATATTAAGCCTATATTAAATTATATTAAACCCATATAAACATTTTTTTCGCGGGTCACGAGATCAATTTGCCACTCACTCCCTCTGAGGCTCTCTAAGCAACAGTCCAATATTTCGACGCGCTCGTCAGATGTATAGAACGACTTTACAATTTTACCCATTCGGTCGTACAAATCGTCGCTCTCCTCGACCCAACGTTTAATTTCCGCGATAGCGTTCTCTCTAATCTTATCGGTCTCGTTCAAATATGTCGCTGCATATCTTCTATCTTCACTAGTTAGCCCATGTCGAGCGTAAAATTCTACACTATTGTCACACACGTTTGCCATCGTGACACTACAAGAAACTTTATCCACTGTTACGAAGGAACTGAGCAATCGATCCGCGGACTGAGCAGAGATAAATTGTTACACATGGAATAGAATTAACGATAAATACGGTTACGTAACATAAAACTTTTTACATAAAGTCTATTTTTTAAATCACTTCAATGATAAATCAGTTATTAAAGATTTTCATCATCAGCCTAGAGTCCGGATCGCGGTGCTGTTTATTCCCACTCCAAGCGCCGCGCTCCGCGAGAAGCAGTGCCCACTATGCCGCCGCTATCGTCTAGAGATGCGTTCGGAGAGACGCTGTTAACATTATTTGCGTTATTCTATCCTTGTTTTATGTCTAATAAGCTATGAAAATAGAATGCTACTAATAGTGCTAGTAGTATCTCCCCGAAAATGCACTAAAGTACCAAATGGGACATCATTGCACTTAGCAAAGAAATAAAGATTAAATTTATTTAATATAACAAGAGCTTTATTAAATACCGATAAAAAAATATAAGTAATAGTAGTGTTATTGAGTATTATACATATAGTTGAAAAATACAAATTATATGTACATTATTTCTATAATGAGTCATTGTTATAGGTCTTAAGAAATAATGTACATATAATTTGTATTTTTCAACTATGTATAATACTCAATAACACTACTATTACTTGTATTTTTTATCTGTACTTAATAAGGTTCTTGTTATATTAAAGGGAAACGCTAGTAGCGCTATTTTTATCACTTTATTTTCATCACTTATTAGATGTAAAACATGGACAAAAAATAACATAACACAAATAACCGTAATAATGTCTCCCCGAACGCGCCTCTAGACTAGCGGTGTAGCGGCGTAGACGGCATTGCTTCTCGCGGGCGCGGCGCTTGGAGTGGGGATAAACAGCACCGCGATCCGGACTTTATAATCATTCCACGCGTCTTACATCATCAAGGCTGCGTTCTATTTCACGCATGATGCGCATAATGCATCATTTATCCTTGTTATTCACCGAATGTTAAACAAGGATAAATAATGCATTATATGCACATCTTGCATGAAACGAAATGTATCCCAAATCTATGTATGCTGGAAAATAATCTTAAATTAAAAAATCTGCTCACAGTTGTCAATACCCATACAGCAAACAAAGATTGCAGAAACATTGCAGAATGATTTCACTAAAACATTACAATATTGCATGGTGCTTGCGAAACGTTGCTGAATCATTGTTGCAAAATTTCAACAATGTTAAGATATCCGCTTTTTATTATATTGCAACAAAACGTTTCAGCAATATCGTAATGTAATGTATTTGGATAAATTTTTTATGAAGAAGAAATTTTTTTCTCTCTAAAATAAAAACTATTTCTATACATATATCTCACTAACTTTAATTTTTCTGCAAATCGCATTTCTAGTGATATGTGCTTTACAAAGCAATTTTTTATGATAAAATCATAAAATATTCTAATAAATATAGTATTAATTCTGAAGGATAAATTTATTCGTAAGGATAAAGCATATATATATGTGTGTCCCGAACAAATTATAAATATTAACCACGTTAACATAATAATACACAGTCGCTTGGTAAGTTAATCGCAGTGATTCTTTTTAATTCGAAATCACTCCGAGTCAATTGAAATCGATTAAAAAATGACGGTATGACATTTATCAATAAAGTTCAGGCGCTGGTGGGGAGGGTTTATTCTTGCGTTCACATCAGGCATAAATACATCATCGATTACATAATTAATATTTCGATAAATCGTTTTCAGCAGCTTAATTGCTTATCGTCTTATCCGATAATAATGCATTGATAGTATCCAAACTCGATATTATACAACCTTTTGATTTCATATTTAAAATAAATGTAAAACTTAGCTAATGAAAAGGCTGTTAAATAATAGATCAATAAATTTTTTATTTAAATATAAAAATGGATTATATTAATTATTATATCATAAAAACGGCTGTTAAATTAAAAGTCTGTACTACATAAATATTGTAAAAATTAATATTTTTATATTATTATTATTGTAACAATTAAAGAATTACAGTTTTGCAATGTTTGTGGAATATTACAGGCATATTACTGACATTTTGCAGGCATATTGTTAATTTACATTCTGTAATATCTCTGCAATATTACACTGCAATTTGCAATATTGCAACATTGCAGCAATATTGCTACAACCTTCTGTGGCGTATGGGTATAAACGTCTTACTTTACTAACCGTTTCACACATAAACATAAAATAGAATATAGCCAACTTTTCATTGCCAAATTTTCATTGTATTAGCGAATAGTGAGACTGCGACAAAAGAGAGAACGTAATACATACCATAGATCTTATACTACTGGAGGAGGAATACGGACGTCGAGCTGTGAGCAAGATCTAAAGGATAGAAATATCTTTTTATCCTCTTCTATTCTCTTTTGACACATGCGCAGAAAGAAGAAAAGTTACTGAACAGGACAGAAATATATACAGAAATATATCTTCTGTTTCTGAGATCTTGCTTACACTTTCCACTCATTGCTTGGATAGGTCATTCTAGTAGTATAAGCTCTATGGTACATACTGACATATTTTCTTTGTCTCTTCGCGCTGGCCCTGTTTGCTACCTACCTATCAGCTTATGTAAATTAAGAAGACAAAACACGTAATATTTAATAACGGCTGTAGAGAACTTATATGTCAAAATAAAAACATTCGGTGATCATATTTATTAATTTACAAATATATATAAAATTACTTAAAAGAATTAACATTCATCTTGCACATTAAGTAGTCTAATACTTTTTCATGTTATATTGTAATGAGCTCAGTAAATTAATTTGTCAATATGTTCCCTCTTCTCGTAGTCGCACCATTTTCATTTTCATCATTTTTTATAAAGAAAGACAGGCAATATCATTATATATTGTAAATATATGCACTATTCATAGTATATTTATAATTCATATCGTTAAATATGAAAATAGCTTTAAATTTAAGAGATCACTCAATTATCAATATAAGCGTCTTATATGTATATTTTGCGATCGAACAAATCTATTGTTTCACGATCCATCAATGAATAATTGCAACAAATGGTCTGTCTGTTTTGAATATTTAAGAATTACGCTATTTTTCTAGATCTGTGACTCTTGATTAGTTTGAAAAAAAAACAGTATTTCTTTAATTAATTGAAGACATACATACATACATATTCAATCAGAAAAATAAATATTGATTTAAAAAATAACGATGCAATAATTAGATAAAAAACATAAAGATTTTTGATCGGATCATTATTTATTATCACTTATATAAGTGATCAGAAATTTCCATTTTCATTTTTTTTAACGTCATTTGTCATACCACTTATACTACTATTTTTTATTACGCTAGCAAAAACAAATAAGCATTAGATATGTAACGTCACATTGCGACGGCGCGGCACGTTCTGCGTTCTATCTAGTTACATCGGTTTTTTTTCAAGTATGCCGCTATATAACTTTTATTTTCGCTAGTTAGTTTATGCCAAACGTAACACTCACCGTATCCACGCGTATTTGCTGTCGTGAGAAGCTTCGTCTACTTCGAATCAGCAAGCACAAAGATGAACTGTCTTGGATGAAAAATGTCTTGGATTAACGATAAAAAAGGTCAGTAGAAAACATAGTAATTTGCTCTTTCATGGATTCTATGTGTTTAGAGATCATTTCGATGATAAATTATATACTAAAATATTAAAACAAATGCCAATTGAGCCACACAGGTTGTACGTGTGTATTTTAATATATATGTCATTTATTAAAAATGAATATTAACATGTAAACGTTTCAACCTATGGTCAAGGTCCTCTTCAATACAGAAATATATATATTGACCAAATTAGAATCCATTAACAAAAAGAATGTAATAAAATAACTGTGGTGGTATCCGAATTAATCTTGGTCATCTGATTACAAAGTCAACTAAAACGATAAAGATATTCCAATCTATATCGTTTATGCAAGGTTATTTATTATTTATTTATACTTTTGTCTTTGTAAGTACATGTTCTATTGCCTATTGTTCTCTCATTTTCATTTTATATCAGTTTGTCGAACAGTTATGTCGTGTTTAATATTCTCAAGTTCTGATTCATGTAAGTGATTTAAATTTAGTTGGAATGTGATTTATATTAATTAATTTTTTTTTAAATTTAATCATGTTTGTGTTATATAGTAAATTGAACAATTTAATGGAGCATGTGTACTAGGAATATTATATGCACAGATTAATCTTGTCAGTTATGTGAGTTTGTTACTATTTTTATGTATAATTCTTTGTTAAAAATTGTTTTTAAATTTGATTGTTCCTCAATGTTGTAGGGAAGTTTCATATGATTAATACATTATAACTAGAGCTCGAATTTTCCGCCAATGGTCGTACCAATTTGAATCGATTGTAGCACGTTGCTCTCCACTATCGGTATTACACTGCACGTCGCAGCCTTGGGCGAATTCAAAGTGGGGAGAGCTACGATCAACGCGATCTCAGAACTTTAATCTGGGTTCTAATTATGACATAATATACATATGAAAATAGGAGGGCACGTATAATTTGAGCCGATAGTATCGGAAATGCTCTACATATGTACATACAGAATACAGGTTTTTAAATTTAATCATAAAAAAAATTTAAAAAAATTTTAATATAAAGGCCCGTCTACAATACACGGAGTAAGAAGTAAGAGTAAGAAATTGACCAATCACAGTCGATTATTCTTCTTACATTCGACTGTGATTGGTCAATTTCTTACTCTTACTTCTTACTCCGTGTATTGTAGACGACGCCTTATATTAAACAAATTTTTGATAGATAAAAGACTCTTCTTATGAAAATAAGTAACAATAACAAAGGGTAAAGTAAGAGTCAAATAGCAATCGAAATAAAATCAAATACAACGTCTAATCTTGAATATAATACATATATCCAGACAGCAACTAGTAACTATACTAGTTCAGTCTTTTTTATGAATTAATAAAATTTGTTTAGTCTGTGTTGATTCGTATCAGTGAACGTACGTTATAATTGACACGCGACGGTCTTCTTACATTTATGCGATCTATTAGAGTGTATACAATTTATACGGCTCGATTTTATTGTGCAACGTAATATCGTTGCAACGTGATATCGTTGATTTTTTTGTTAATTGGACTTTGGTTAATTGAACTAGGTCCGGATGCGCGAATGTAACGTCAAATACTGATTAACAAATATTTTTATAAGACTTATTGGGCAACGATTAACCTTCTGCCCTCGTGACTTAGCTAACTCTGAGCCTTATCAGTTAAATTTGTCAGTTAGAAAAATTTAATTTTAATTATTTTGATTATGATTATCAGTATTGATTTGCTGTGTAAACAAACAAATTATTCTCAAATTTTCCAATTTGAAACAAAAGAATCGTAGAGTCCTCCGGACGTAACAATGAAACAATTTTGACATAAAGATCATCATTTTGGAGCATATAAATACATAAAAAAATTTCTTTTCTCTCTATTCTATATTTATTATTGGAGAAACATCGCCTCTCTTTCCCTCTCTCTCAGACAATCAGATTATTTAAATTACTTTGTACAATTCATTCTCAGTTAAAAAAAAAAGTGTTTTATCGATAACCAACATATCGTTCAGTATAAAATACGAAGTGTAAATATAACGTAAATTTTCATCGTATCTATATCTTTAATATGTATTTAACAAGGACGAGAAGTAACTCGTTACTTGTAACGAAGTTAGAGTTAGAGTTACTTTTTTACAGTAACTGTAACTTAACTTCGTTACTTTCTTTTCATTTGTAATTATAACTTAACTTAGTTACATCTTTTAAGTAACTAGTAACTAATTTAATAGTTATTTTCATAGTTATTTTATATATTTTAAACTTATTTGTCAATTTAGTGTGCGGTAATGTCCACTTGGCGCTACAAATACTTCAAAACATTTGATTAATCAGAAGAAAGAAATTTAATTAAAGCGTTCAATGAACTCTCGTACCTGTTTGGTCTATATTTTAGGATCTAATAGAATCCGCCAATCAAATACAAGAGCGCTCAGTGAACGGTTGTAGACCATTTTGGATTAGTGCTGAAATTTATTTGCAACTTTTAGCCGAATATAAAAAGAATTCTTTTTACAAAAACATTGTATATGTGTGCTATTTCATATTTATATTCATATGTGTTTATATTACTTTAACGAAAAACGTCTTTGCCATAAAATTTTTTTATCTTCTTGAATAAAATTCTGTAACATGTAAATGTAAGCCAGTCCTTTTTTTTTAATTTTCCTAGGCTGCATTACTCTGATGACCTCATATATCATCCTTGTTTAATATTAGATGAAAAACAAGAGTAAAACGATATATGAAGGCAGTTGGATAACGTTTCTGAATACAGCCCTAATGGTATCAATACTACTAGTAAATATTCCGATGAAAAAAGTAACTTAAAAGTAACTTAAAGTTACTTTTTCAGTAACTGTAACTGTAACGAATTACTTTTCAGAGTCAATAACTTGTAACGGTAATTAATTACTTTTTGAAAGAGAAAAACTGTAACTGTAATTAATTACTTTTACAAAGTAACTTTTCCATCTCTGGTATTTAATATATATATTTTTATCTATATTTAAAAAAAGATGTTTGTGGATATGAATATAAGACATGTAACAAAAAAATGAAACAAACATGAGAGTTATAGAATAAGCCTGTTGCTCCTTTCAACTTCTTGTATCAATCAACTTTCTCTTTTCTTTTCTTACGTGGAAAAAAAAGAGAAGGGATTAATTGCTATACCAGCCATTATTGAAAAGAACAGGTTTTTAAATATTACCATCAGTATTATACTACGTTGACGCCTACAGATGGCGCAAATATCTGGTTAGTGAAGTTGCCTTAGTTCCAACAGAGCACACGAACTGTGAACAGTTGTGTATCGCGGTACTTATAGTATTACATTTTGCGTTTACTGTTGTCCTTATTTTACAAATAAAAGTGTATCTTATCATTGCTCGAAGACGATTTTTCCGTGGAAGCTTCCTGCTTATTATAATCACAATGGAGAATGAAGACAAATATAACAGCATAGAGTATCACATTCAGCACGAGCTAACTAGTAGCGATAAAGAATATGCAGCGACACATTTGAACGAAACCGATGAGACTAGAGAGACCACTATTGCCGAGATTAAACGCTGGATTGACGACGAAATGCACGTACAAATTGGTAAAAATAACAGTAATCTTACGTGTGAAAATCACTCAATGAAAAAAAAGATTCAATTATGATTTATTACTTTCGGACCTTTAATCCCTTATAAAAATTTTTCACCGTTTTTAGACCTCATATGGACCCTTTTTAGCCTGTTTTTAGCCCGTTTTTAGCCCGTTCTTGCTCGTTTCTTGCACTCACAAGCACTCGCAGTGTATCATGAAGGAACGATAGTAAGTATACAC